GGCAGCAAATATTTAACAGTTTACTGCATGTCAAATCAGAGAATTGTTTCATACATGTATGAATTTCCATTAAAAACAAAGCAAAATGGGTTAGGGTTTGTTTTTTTATTTATATGAAAACTATAGTGTTGTCTAAAAATTATGAGAATCGGGTTATATGCGTCAACTGAAGAAAGCTTTAATTTAACACATTTAAAAAAACACATTGTGAACCACTTTTTTCTTGTACATTGGTATTACCTATATTATAGAATATTTTAGAAAGTATCTGCCCGCTTCATTTAACATTACAATACCTCAACACATCACCAACCACATAATATAGTCACATACAGTTATTAGCAATTAAACAGTGCAGTCTAAGACACAATTAATATTGTATTCCAGAATTTATTGCATTTTAATATCATTATATTTATGCACTGGCATTACCTGTTATATTAAATTTTCTTTGTTTGTAGAAGAAAAGTGAAGGTGAAATGTTTCTGGTTTAATCAAAGTTTCAATGATATAGACATTAAAATAGGTATTTATGAACCGTGAAATTTGTTGTACTAATCGATCTACTATACTACATATTCTAATAATATTTAAAGCTTACTGATGATTTATTTGTTCTGATTTACTGGTACAAACATGTTAAATTGTTACAGTTCTTTTTAGCTGTATTCATGTTTTCAAATTAATAACTTGGCAAGGGACTACATGTCTGCTGTAATATAGTACTACGTCTATACTCCAGCAACAAAACATGACTCAAACATGTATGTAAATGAAAAATTGATTGTTCCTGTTGTTCTTTGTTGAAACAAACATCTCAGCACAATTAGTTTGTAGGATGTCGCAATGTGTTTTTGGCTCCCAGAAGTGGTTATATTTCAATATTTTGGTGGCTTTTGCCAAAATTACACTATTTGATCACTGAAGTCCTGTTTTTTCAAAACTTAAAGTCCATTTGCCTTAAATTTATTATGAAATATTATTATAAAAATATACTTGTACATGCTAATGTGTAAAATAGTGCATCAAAATGTTGGTGGGTAAAAAAAAAATATTGTTTGCCTACTGAAAAATATCAAATTTAATATCTTTACGAAAATGATTTACATCAAAGGTAGATTAGGTGAAGAAACGTGCAATTGACAGTACAGCTATTGTAGAACATGTGCAAGAAATGGCTACAATTCATTGTATTCAAATTGATGAATGGACATAAATGGAGATTATTACTCGTGCAGGATTATAAAGATAAACGCTTAACAACTCTGTATTTATCAATTTCTCCTTTATGCTCAGTAGAATTGGAAAAGTAAATCAATTTTGAAGTTTCTGGGTTGAGTAGGTCAAGTATTTATTATTTTGTTTTTAATTTCCCCAAATGAGGTGTTTAGATTGTTGCTAAATAATGATCGTTGTTTACTGTCGCCGCCATATTGTTCTGAACACAAAAACGACAACATTGCCAGCTAAGTTGCGGACTGGTTCGCTATGCGTGTCTCAAGATTGCTATGTGATTAGAACATGTTGGGTCAAACCAACCTCGACAGGAGACATCAAACTAATAGTTTGAATATAAATAATGAATACCAAGAGAAGTTCCAATTAGCTTTCAAAACTATCTTAACAAGATGATTAACTAGGTACTAACACAGTATGTTAGGACACAGTGGGTGGTGTGTCTAGTGCACAGCATAATACTTGTAAATCTGCGCATTTATTCGATTTCACCTCAAATATTGGTAGATTTATTAGTCCCCGTTCGGACGAAGTCCGAAAATGGGGACTTATAATTCGGTCTCCGTCCGTCTGTGCGTTTGTGTGTCCGTGCGTCCGTCCGGAGTCATATCTCAGAATCCCTTGGACCGATTCCGTTCATTCTTTGCATGTGCCTAGTACTTTATGTGGGACATATGCACATGCAGTGGTTTAGCAATTCGATTCAAAATGGCCGACTGGCAGCCATCTTGTTTTTTGAAAATGTTGTATTTTGGACATGCTTTGTCAGTTTTCATTCAAACTTGGTATATAGATTATACATGTTAGGATACATGTCCATGATGATTTATTTCACAATTGGATCAAAGATGGCCGACTGGCAGCCATCTTGTTTTTTGAAAATGTTGTATTTTGGACATGCTTTGTCAGTTTTCATTCAAATTTAGTACATAGATCATACATGTTAGGATACATGTCCCCGACCGTCCGTGAGTTCCTGAGTCTGTCCGTGCGTGTGTCCGTCTGTCCATGCGTCAGTCTATCCAACGTCATATTTCAGAATCCTGTGGACCGATTCCGTCCAATCTTTGCATGTGTCTTGTACCTTATGTGGGACATATGCACATGCAGTGGTTTAGCGATTCGATTAAAAATGGATGACTGGCAGCCATCTTGTTTTTTGAAAATGTTGTATTTTGGACATGCTTTGTCAGTTTTCATTCAAACTTGGTACATATAGGATACATGTCCATGACGATTTATTTCGCAATTGGATCAAAGATGGTCAACTGGCAGGCATCTTGTTTTTGTTTTTTTATGCGGTATCTTGGACGTGCTCTGTCAGTTTTCATTCAAATTTGGCACATACATGTACTTTGTACATGTTAGGATGCATGTCCATGACAATTTGTTTCAAAGGATAGCAGATTGACAGCCATCTGACTTTTTGGCCTTACTACTATATTTCCACAATTTATGTACCATTTTCATTCGTATTTGGCACATACATCATACATATCAGTGTGTTTCATAATCAGATCAAAGATGGCTGAATAACGGCTGTTTTTATTTTGGCCATATTACTATGACACAAAACACGTGTTTTGATGTAAATAAACAATCTGTTGTATACGCCATTTGGAACTCAAGTTTCAAGGACACGCTCGCGACAACCCCTCCGCTTTAATATGACGAGCACAAAGAGAACTTAACGGGGACTGTGTCATTTTCAATGACTTGTTTTATTTGGCTAAGTTTTAAAAACACAAATATACATAGTATAAAAAGGAATGACGTCCCTTGAAATAAAACCTTGTATATACATGTACACAAACGTAATATTTATCCCACTCTGATGGCGATTCAAAACTTGCCCAAGATGAAATAAATTGTTTTGAATTAAATATTATTTCACAAGATGTGCAAACACTGTAGTAAATGATGTACATTTTGAGGATGACATTTTACTTATTAGTCCCCGTTCGGACGAAGTCCGAAAACGGGGACTTATAATTCGGTCTCTGTCCGTCCGTCTGTGCATCCATGCGTTCGTGCGTCCGTCTGGAGTCATATCTCAGATACCCTTGGACCGATTCTGTTCATTCTTTGCATGTGCTTAGTACTTCATGTGGGACATATGCACATGCAGTGGTTTAGCGATTCGATTCAAAATGGCCGAATGGCAGCCATCTTGTTTTTTGAAAATGTTGTATTTTGGACATGCTTTGTCAGTTTTCATTTAAACTTGGTACATAGAATATACATGTTAGGATACATGTCGGTGATGATTTATTTCACAGTTAGATCAAAGATGGCCGACTGGCAGCCATCTTGTTTTTTGAAAATGTCGTATTTTGGACATGCTTTGCCAGTTTTCATTCAAATTTAGTACATAGATCATACATATTAGGATACATGTTATGACCGTCCATGAGTTCCTGAGTCTGTTCGTCCGACCGTCCATGTGTCCGTCTGTCCGTGTGTCAGTCTGTCCAACGTCCAACCGATTCCATTCATTCTTTGCATGTGCCTAGTACCTTATGTGGGACATATGCACATGCAGTGGTTTAGCGATTCGATTCAAAATGGCCGACTGGCAGCCATCTTGTTTTTTGAAAATGTTGTATTTTGGACATGCTTTGTCACTTTTCATTCAAACTTGGTACATACATTGTACATGTTAGGATACATGTCCATGACGATTTATTTCGCAATTGGATCAAAGATGGTCGACTGGCAGGCATTTTGTTTTTGTTTTTTTATGCGGTATCTTGGACGTGCTCTGTCAGTTTTCATTCAAATTTGGCACAT